AACGATTTATGCGATTTCCAGCGTACACTTACACGTGGGAAATTACGCAGTTCTCCTGTGTGATCTCGTTTTCAAGCACGCCCGTACTGGAGATATTTGATTGACGCCGAGCTGCAGTTCCCGGCGCTGTAATTACGTATCGCGGGAACGTCATAATGAAGCGCGAAGCTGCGAAAAATGCAACCTCCGCTTTCAAAGAGAATATTAAAATTATTACGGCAGTTTGGCATACGGTTTCGCTCATTAATTTTTATTCGGTTTATTTAAAATGTACGCAGTCAGAGATTCCTCTAGCGACGGATAATTATTTGGCGCTAAAATCGGTCGCGGAACGCAGTCTTAATTTATATTACGAAGAGTTTGTTTGTTTTGTTACTTTATAATATAAATTGAGATTGTTCTTCATGTCCGATTTTTACATCATGATACATCTAGTAGGCAGTGTACGTTATGTAACATATTCTGCGAATATTGTGTGATCACTATCATCGTGCAGGTCATATGTTAATGAACGTACACGCATGTGTTGCATGATGCAATATTTAAAAACTTTACGTTATCATTATTAGCATACGTAGGAAAATTGAAATATAACCAAACAAAAGAAGAAGACACGCTATTGATAAAATATGGGAAAATTTTATAGAATACCTTAAAATTATATGCAGACCGCAGGTTCCCCATCCCTGAGCTAGACTTCACAGCTCTGAAGAACTTCTTCTCATCACCTGACACAATTTCAATTGTCTATTCTATTTTCCCCAATGTTATTGTTGCAAAAATTAATTGTCAAAGTGAATTAACCTGGGAATGTTCACTTCACTTCGTAACAACACGTCCGTCCAATCGATATTCTTTTAAAATGATTATTTTCTCATTGTTATCGTTGCGGGAATGAATTATGAAAGTGGATCAACCCGAGAGTCTTCGCTTCGTTTCCTAACAACTGTCGATCAACGTTGTTTTAAAATTGAATAAATTTGGTAATATTATTTTAGAATCACTGAATCAAGTCGATGACTCAACCCTCGGCCATTCCGTATCGCGACGACCGTATTTCACCCACTGCTTTTAGCCACTGACGAGGAATCTTTTGTTGCTAAAGATACACATACGCTCGCTGCGAGGAAACTCGCGGAACTAAGAATAGTTCCGTGCTTTGTTATTGTCTCGACGTGATTGAAACGCGGGGCTATAATTTCTGTTTCTATCTATCTGTAAACAGAGACGAGATACAATAAAGTGCGCAGATGTCAAAGCAGACGCAGCTGCGCTCTGTAGAAAACCGGTATTTATCATCGGATTGCTAAGATTACGAGGACGATCCCTCTAATGGTATATCCCTCGAGATCGACTTCGATAACACGAGTACACCCGAAGACTGAAAATAATTAAACGATCGCTTATTCCAACGTGATGATACAGCAACGTTGATTTATTAAAACTTCTAAAAATTGTTCCTCATCTCCTGTATTCGAAAGGACATCGACTGTCGGAAATATCTGATTCGTATTCACGAATCCAAAATGTACAAAACCAATCGATTCCCACTCGGTCGTCAAATCGAGTTAAAAAGAGGACCTCGTCACGATTAATGGTGAAAAATAAAAGTCTGTGCCCGGCAGAAAAAGCGTGGCCACCAGCGAAATTACGAAGAAACGATAACGAGCGTGTTATGGCAGCGGAGACCAGATAATGAGAAAGTCGAGCGTAAATCTTCGGTTGCGAAGTCGTTTAATCAAGAGAATACCAGATTTAAACTCCCCGCAACGAAATATGGCATGCCCACGCCGATTTTTTTTATTTCCTTTTATTACAAGGGAGAGTTCATTTTTGTACTCAAGAGAGATGACGGGACGGCACGTAGCCGGAAAAGGCAAAAAAGCACTTTTTCCAGTGTGCAATTATCAGTAAATTTCTCTCTCGCAAGGTGCACGATAACGGAGAAACGACAAAATAGAGGTAACAAACTGGAATTCATTTTAATCTCGCCGCGAAATCGTCGCTCTTTAACTTCCGATTCCCAGGGCAGGACGAGATTCAGCGGATGATTAACGGATTTTGTGTTTTTCCACCGATTATGAATTAAAGTTGGAAAGATATCAAGCGGCGGATAACAAGAGCCAGCAGTCAGCCAGTGTGACGTAATGGAACATCTCCATTACTCTCGATCTCGTTAAAATTCTATTGGAAATCGTTACGTACTGGCGACGGCAATGTTCTTTGTCGCGAAATGTAATTTCCCCAACCGATCGTGTAAAGACGAGGGCATGAAAGATCCGTCCCGGATGGGCGGATCTTCTCCGTCGAACCTTATTCGCTGGAATATTTTATGCCATCTGACGTCTGCATTGAAACGAGATCTATTACACAATATTACTTATTGTCTTCTGCGATGTCCTGGTATCGTGGACAAGCACATTTCTGAAACACAATTATCGAGTCACGTGTTGACGCGAGTCGATGGCTTTTCAGTGAATTTTAATATTAAATTTTAATACTTCAGCCATCTGGGAACCATCATTCGAATGGCATACAACTTATCACAACAACCGATTCAAAATAAGCAGCTTATATTCATTAGGAATACTCTTCAAGCCCTCAATAGCTCTACCATAAACCCTGGAATTTACAACCGGCAAAAACAGCCCGTAGAAGTATGGGTAATGTTCTTCAACCGTTCTTCAGTGACGAACCCACCCCCTACGAATCGCGTGCCCCTTTTCAAAATCACTAAGGACGCTTTAGAACGGAGGATTCGGTCTTAGGGACTTTGCGTAATGTGAATTCTTACGATTCATTCATTTTTATCGAATAGTATCGGATGTCAACCAGTAACGACGCAATTCCAGTCACTCCCGCCACGCGACAGAGAATTCTGTACCTTGTACAAGTGTTCGAAAATCATTTTTTTTCGTCGAGAAAATAGGAAATTTGCACGACGCGGGCATTCAGTCGCGTTCTCCTCGGTATCGAAATGCATCTAATATAGCGCGAGTTTTCCCCGACTTCCGGTAAACTGGCGTCCACCTTATTCCTCAGAAGTTTCGAGCCCCCTGAATATTTACAGACCGCGTGTCGCGGCCGGGAAATTGCGTAAACTTTTCAAATAAGTCGAACGATCGTGTAAATCATCGGCAAGCGCAGACTATAAAAGGGAAACTCGCGTCTCGTCATACGTCGATCGAAAGCTCGTTAAAGATATTTCCGAGCTGGGGGTGTACGAGATTAATTCTCGAATTTGTCATCTTCGACGGGTTTATCCTCCGCCGATATTACGGATCGTGCTCCAGAGAAAATCAAAGAAACGAAACTTCTCGATGACCGAGGGTGCTGATAGGTATTTAACTCTGAGATCGTTATTAATCTTCGCGTATCTAGTGCTTTAACGCCGTCTGGCGAAAGAAACAACGTTATTGGCCAGGATTCGCCGACAAAAGTTTACATTTATTTTGCCCACGGTTTAATTATTTTTCTTCCGACAAGCCGCGCGCTCGCGCGCCGCAATAAACTTTCAGCGTCGACTTAAAGGAAGGTTTCCTTTTTACCATAACGAGCGGCTAGGAGCAAAAATTTATTTTTCAAAGCCTCGCGGGCACGGAGGTGAGCGGGGGATTGGCGCTTTTTTCTTCGGTGCGATCCTTTGATCTTTCAACGTGACGGTTAGAGCCCGTCAGTCTATCGGGCACCGAGCGCAAATGAGAAACTTCTGATTCCCTGAAATATTCAGAAATCACGTCGTGTATCGAGATATACCCCCCACCTACGGATCGAAATATCGGTCGGACGGAGATTATTTCTCGGATTACTTTTACCGGGCGATACCGGTCGTATCTGTGACGAGGGTAAATCGAAAGGTGAGCTGGCCCTTTTTATCACCCGTGCAGTATTTGCCAGGAAAGTTAAGATACGACTGGGGTATCGCAACATTTACCAAAGCGTTACCCGTTACAAAATTCACTGCACGAGCAACGTCGCTGGATGTTCCACTGGATTCACGGTGCACTCAGTCTTTTGATAACCAGTCGCGTGGGCGTGTCGATGTCTCTCCCAACGATCGTACCCAGCGAATTACCATGTAGACTTTTAATTTCGTCTCTATTTATTGAAATCGGATATTCAGCGACGTATCGACGCTGAATCGCGATAGCGTTCCAATAGTTTCCAGATCGTTACCTTTCTAGCTTTACTTTTCCCAATGGACGGTGTAATTGTGAAAGTTTCTATGCGTAGAAATAGTGAAAATTTTCTCTTCTCTCGCGTACGTGGATTTGCTGCATTGAAATAAACTGTATCCGTTAAATCGTTTATAAACATTGTTCGTCCGGCGAAAAACATCCCCCACAAAGAAACGCCGCACGAAAGTTTCAGCTTATTTTCGAACGGGAAATCATCCTATTCTCGTCTCTACCGCGGTTTCCGCCGCGACCTGTACAAATAGCCGCGGTAAAAGCGTAGTTTTTTAAGTTTTTCATCGCAAACGTTACGAGTCCACTTTTCTATTTAGAGAAACAACTTACTTCGCCGAACAAAAGGCGAGAGGTAAAAGCGTCGAGCAAAACGCGGCGAAGTAGAACAAAATACAAATACCAAGGCTTCGTAAAATAGAGGAGAAACTTTGATATTTATCGACTTAATCGTTTCGGGTTAAGGAAACGGTCGGATAAGAAACGCGGTGAACTTCCCTTGGCAAATCGAAACTGTTGGGTAACAACGGCATTACGAGCAAACGAAAAAGCCGTAGACGTAAGCGTAAATGTATTCGGTCGAGTCACGAGTTTCTACCGAGCATTATCTTAAAACTTTGAACATAAGAGCTGATGTACACAAATGGAACACGTCACGGAGCGTTTAGGGAATATTTTGCTTCAGGTCCAGTTAGTTATGATTTAAGCTTGTGGCGATGGAGTTCATTTGAATATAAATAACCGTAATACGTAATTCCACCACGACCCGTTAAATGACCGTCTTTAAAATTTCGTATAAAATTGTAGACTTACCCTTAACTTAGAGAGGAGCGAGAAATCCGTAACCGCCTTGAGCGTCACTTTGCCAAGAGAATGTTCTACAACAAAGAAGAATAACATTTATTATTAATATAGTCTCGATCAAACTGTCGTAAAGATATCGCGAGGTATCGATCACGTTTAGTTCATCATTGCATAAATAATTGAATGCTTGGCAAGTTGTGCCGCGAAAATGCGCGGAGGACAAAGAGGAGTTTTTTCACTGTTCGATTATAAGAAGGGGCTGGGAAACGTGCGATATTCAGTTTTTCTATGTTGCACGGTTCGGCAGAAAGCGAAACAAAAAACTTTCTATTAAGAGGGAACAAAGGGGTTCCGGTTCGGAGTCTATTTGCGAGTTACGCGTCGCGTAAGCCGCTTTGCGTGCCGATCGGTTTCAATTTACAGTCGCGCATCGAATATTTGCGGTAAAAACGCGACACCGGGCGCCCAAGCCGTTTTTCGGAAACTGACATCGATATCGTATCGATTGTACCGAAATCGTTCGATTTTTGGCGATCGTCGTGACTCCGACTCGCATTCGAAAACGAAGTACCGAAGTCGACGATATCTCGAATATTTTCTGAAACGGAATAGTTCGTTTGGCCATCGTGTTTTCTTAGCCCGAGTGGGAGTCGCACGTAACGTGAAATAGAATCGGCGAAACTCTGTCTAGGGACGGACAGTAGGAATCGTTTGTCTTAGGAATTGGAACGGAACCACGACACCGCGAAACTTTCGACGATCGAAACTTGGAATGTTACTGTCATGGAATGGGACGGAAGATAAGAAAGTCAAGTGTCGTTGGCCGACAACGGATTCCTCCTATCCGCGCGAAGCACGAGGGAATGAATTATTCTAAGACTTATCACTCGTCAGCGAATGGGAATTCTTCTGTCCCGCTACTTTGGAAAGATTAATGACTCGCGTGGGGGATCGCTTGGTCAGTGTTTCCGTGTCTCCTTTCAGTTTGACAAAATTCACTGCAGCGAATAATTATTATATTTAAAAATGAGGTATCGTTACACGCGTTAAGATTGCTTCGTCTTTGAGTACTGAGAGCTTGGCAGGAATAACTGGCAAACTTGGTAAGCCACAAATTATTTCGATCGGAGTATCAAACAAATAGTCGTCGATACTGCATCAAAGTGCCTCGAGCCTCGCGACTATATTAATCGAATATGATATCAGGAATAGTTTCTAAGCATTATTGATCGCATCCGATTGAACGCGAAGTCACAAAGGCGCTCCTGGTCCTTCGAGGATCCTATTCGCACTAAATTTCCTCGCCACTTCCTTCGTCTCTCCTTGGATCAGCGAACGATGGACTGTTTTCAGCGAATGCCGAGCATTCATTTAGTAAGCAAACCTACAGGCTCCAGGAGACAGATTTTACGAGGGTAATTTAGCCGCGTTCCAACGCAAAGGCACGCGCGCCCGCCATAGTGTTTAATTATTCCGAAGACGTACGGTTGCACATGGTTTTGCGTCTACCCTTTCGGACACTCGAATTATTTCTGTCTTATTGCGCCCTTCATCCCTGCTTTATTCGTCTCTGAAAACAGAGGGCAATTTTTCAAGCACTGCAACTTTTGTCCGTACTCGTTACGGGTACTCGAAGGTGTACAAGCTCCTCGATAAGAGTCACGAACTAGGCTCCCGTTTGAAAACCCTTAACGAGTACGATATTTTATTTTGGCGCGTCGTATTATAAATGAAACCATGAGGTTCGTTCGAATTAAATTCGTTTTCCTCGCTCCAAATAATTTAAAAGGTCATACGTTGGAAATGGAATTTAATGAAGGATTTGAAAATAAGTCGGACGCAAATACGATGAAAGTATACCTTATTCCAATCAATACTTATATTTTTCTAAGCAAATTTCAAACATTGAATTATACGCATTTTCGATGTACACGAAATGTTTCATATTTTCATTGTTTTTATCGTGATTATTGAATTTTTCATTCGTTCGTTTTGAATAGCATTGTTCGCTGCGGTATATGGATTGTAATTCTCTTTCGCAAGTAATTACATTTAATTTCTCTTTTGTTTTTAATGGAATGAGGCCATTATCTCGGGTACGAAACGATTTTTTTGAATATCGAAGAATGTTTAATTAAGGTAGGAGAAACAATACAATTCCGAACGATTTCAGCACTGCTTTCCATATATTTTTACATAATGCTGCAAAAGAAAAAAATCAATACTTTATGTTACGAACAATGAATAAATTAAAAAACGACATGAATTTATAACTTTTGTCCGGTACCGTTATTGTTACGTGGTCGCAACGCTGAATAGCGTTGTTTCGGTTTTGTAACACAATGCAAAATAATGTCACGTCCCATCGTCTAACAAAAGGATTCAACATGCTCCCTCCAATTCGGACGCTCTCTTGCAGAATGATAGAGTACACGTTCACGTTGGTATAAGTAGAATATTAGATGTAGATACGCGATAATTTTCAAAATATACCAGTTGAGTGCACGCATACTTGGTAGTATTACCCTCTGGCTCGATAGCAACACATTTAGGCGGGACACTCTGTATATTAATCTCTGTCATCATGATTGCCGTGGGGCAACTGTAAAACCGAGTAATTATTCAGTAGACTGTACCATACCAATTACAGCCAAAGTTACTTCTCTGGTTGCTAAAGCAAACTGATAAATTTGCAACGTCGACGAAACAGATCGAATCGCACAGTATATAACGTAAATTATTAGTAATATCGGTAACAAAATTCTCCAATTTTCTATACCTTATTGCAGATGACGTTAAGTAGTTTGATATCTCAGAATTAAATTGCGAGTGTCGTCCAGCTAATTAACCCAAATCGAAACACACGGAGACGAATGGAGTGATCCAAAGATTGACTGTAATTTTTAAAATTAGAGTCGGACAGTTTCGTTCCCTCCCTCGTACGTATCAACGCGTACATCTGTTCAATCTGCGTCTCGTTAAAGTAACGGGAAGAGACAGGGACGCTAACTTGGCGAACGAGAAAACGGCAGACGAAAAGCACAACGAGCGCGCGACCTGCATCTTTCATGGGCAATTCTTCACGCGATAAAAGTTTGTTCGTTGCCGCGTATAGGTGTCCCCGGGTACGCTGACATAAATATGGTTTGGCCCGTTCTCTCTCGGCCGTAATCTAATCTGTTGGGAAACTGCTCGTCATTTTCGATAAATCTTGTACGCGCCTCTCGTAATTCGATTGCCACGGATGTGTGGAAAAGTTGTGCTTGTTCACGGAGTCGGTGAATCCGGGCGACGAAGAATTGCTTCCGTGGAAACAAGGGCGAAACGTTTCTCCCCCGGATCTCCCAGCCAGTCTCGAGGAAACGTTTCTCCGTTGTTTCGCAAACTGCCTAGATACACGAGTGTCGCCGAGTAATTTGTGTCCAGGCAATTAAGCAAAAGAAAATGTTCGTTTAGCAAGATAAACCGTCGATAAGAGGCGTGCGTATAACGTTGCTAATTAATTCGTGAATAACTTCGAGAAGAAACGAATCGACTAAACGACTCAATAAAGAACCCCCGTTCGGACGGAATCTTTAATCGCGTGCACGCGTGCATGATTAAACCGGAGAGTAGAATGTAATCTCTGCACTGTCTACCCTAAGCACACCCGGTTCGTTATATATGCAACGTCTATAATACAGTGTATAAGTACCATCGATTCTACATCGTACGAGTGAGGCAAGTTTGCCGAGATTTATTAATTATTTAAAAACTTCGTCGGTACCCGCGTAACTTCGTTTAATTCTCAAACTATTCCCGTTTAACGAAAGATTACTCGACGACTGCTAAAGCACACACTGCTATTCCGAACGACCTGCTATAAAATCGGTACTTTACGTCATCTTTCGATTGGACGATATTTTCAGATATTTTTCAGATATTCTCGTTATTACTGAGAATTTGAATTACACTTCCTCCGCGAACGTGTTATTTCCCCCCGTCGTGCTCGAGCTTCATGCGAGCGTGATAATTAATTACCGTGACTTATTAACGATGAACCCGTAATAGCTGTCATCGAAGAGGAACGAGTCGCTCAGCGAGGGCCAGTAACGTAATTTCGGTAATTTCGCCGATCGTCGGTGAAACTGATTGTGAGTCAATTTGATGGGAATTCATTAGTCACGTCGGAGCGCGAGACTAAACCCTGAATTCCCATCAAACTTAGCTCGAAACGCATCCTATGAACGGGGACTATCGAAAAATAATTTGCCCGTCAATTAATTAGCTACTCTATTTCGTCGTATTAACCCTATCGCAATTTTTTAAACTGAAAACGCGCACGGGAGATTCCACCCTTCGAGTCATTAGCAACAATTCAATTTCTTAAGTAATCAGTAGCACGAGTTACTGGAAAAAGTTCCATTACAAGTTCAACGTTGCATGTGGTTTATGCATGATGGCGAATCGCCAGAGGCAGTTCTTGAACAAACCATTTCCTATGGGACTGTTAGTACGACCTACAAGCTATAAAATCATTTGTTTATTCGATATCCGTTTCCAGAGTTGAAATATTTCGGCAACGAATACGAAAAAGTTTCGAAACAAACGCATAGAACATTTAAAAGATCTAGAAACCCTATGTCGCGACAACTGCGAGCTCGCATTTTGACCGAGGGAGGCCATTTCGAGCACTTACTATAAAGCTGAACAGCTGTACATTACCGGAATATAAAAATGGTTACAGCTTGGAAGTACGGTAAAATATAGATCACATGTTTATACGAACTTTTCCATTATTTTTGCGTCCTCAATCCACGACTGAAGTGGATGCCTCGTGTTACGATACACCCTGTACGTTTCAAGTTAGGAAAACATTAGCCCCATAAATTCTTCACGGTTTTCCACGCCTTGAATTATTTTCTTATAGAAAGACGAGCCATACGTTCTCGTCCGCGTGACTAGCACCGCCCTGTACAACGTAACCGAAGAACGGTGTTAAAAAATGTACATATGTATCCATCGTGCGGTGGGGAACCAGGAAGATTCTATATTTATCCGACATTTTTTCACTTATTTTCCCACGTGAATCGCC